AGTTGGGTCGTGAAACATCTGCAAGAAAACCACCCAGCTCAGAGAGCACCAAGGACCCCCCAGTCCTCCTCCTCTCCATGAACCCCACTCCCTTCTAGCACTGATGATGTTCCCTAGTTGGGTCATGAAATGTCTGCAAGAAAACCACCAAGCTCAGAGAGCACCAAGGACCCCACAGTCCTCCTCCTCTCTGCAAACTCCTTTCCCTTCTAGCACTGATGCTATTACCTAGTTGGGTCATGAAACGTCTGCAAGAATTTGAAGATGCTCAGAAAGCACCAAGGATCCTACAGATAGAGGTATTTGCTAACCAATCCTTACCAGTGCAACAAATGTGTATATTTTTTTCAGATATTTATGGATTTCTACTCCCAACCGCCCCAGTCCATAAAGAACAATAAAAGGCCTGCCACAGTAGATTATCAAAACCTCACAGTACTGACCTTGACTTCGTTGGCTTTCTTGATGGGAGAAATATTCCAGGTTGGAATCACCTGAGGAGGCAACGAGTATGATTGGCACCATCGCCATCCAATACAAAAATCAGGAAGTGCATGAATTCTAGGCAGGGCCCACCTCCTGTTCATTCATGTACGCTTCCACTCATTCATATTTAGAATGTTCTGAAAATGGCCCCACATTTATCCAGGCTCTTTTAGCAAACGGGGAGAATCTGTTCTCTTATGTTATAATACTAACAAATAAAACAAAAACAGGCCACTTTGGTGTAGGCACCAGGCTAGAAATGGAGTTCAAGTTCTTAGCCATGAAGGCCGGCTGGGTGACTTCGGGCCAATCACCAGGAGACGGGGAGTTCTAGTCCCGCCTTAGGCATGAATGCCGGCTGGGTGGCTTTGGGCCAGTCCCTCCCTCTATGCCCAGCCCACCTCATAGGGTTAGCGTGGGGAAAATAGGAAGAGGAGAAAGGGACGTTGTTTGTGTTCACAGCCTTGAATTATTTATAAAAATAATAAAAGCAGGATACAAATAAGTGAATGCTTTTAAACCCCAGAATATATTTGAAGGGCGGGAGAGAGGAGAGAGCGCGCAAAGGTACGCATGAATGGGCTACAGGGCTACTATATTTTACTTACCACCCCTTTCTCTACCACTTCTTTCAGCTTGGACCGTGTCATTTTGGGCTCCTGAATTGGGGGAAGGAGGAAAAGAGAGAAAAAGAGAGAAGGAAAGAATGACAAAAAAGAAAAAGCGAGAGAAAGAAAGAAAAAGAAATAGAGAAAGAGAAAGAGAGAGTGAGAAAAGGAGAGAGGGAAAGAGAGAAAAAGAAAGGAAGAGAGAAAGAGCAAGGAAGAAACAGGAAAAAGAGAAACAGAGAAAGGGGAGAGAGAGGGAAAGAGAAAAAGAAATAGAGAAAGTAAGAGGGAGAGAAGAGAGAGAGAGGGAAAGAGAGAGAGAGAAGAATGACAAAAAGAAAAGAGAAAAAAGAAAAAGAAATAGAGAAAGAGAAAGCAAGAGAAGAGAGAGAGAAAAGGAGAGGGAGAGAAAAAGACAGGAGAGAGTGAAAAAGAGAGAAAGAGGGGAAGAGAAAAAAGAAAGAGATAGAAAGATCAAGGAACAGAGAGAAAAAATAGAAACAGAGAAAGGGGAGAGAGAGGGAAAGAGAAAAAGAAATAGAGAAAGGGAGAGGGAGAAAAGAGAGACAGAGAAGAGAGGGAAAGAGAGAGAGAAAGAGAGAGAGAAAAACAGAAAGAAAGAGAGAGAGAGAGAGAGAAAAAAAACAGTTGTTCAAACAACATAGAATCTGCTATGGGGAGACCTGCTATCTCATTTTCCTGCTGAGATATACAGGCCCCTTCTGGGAGACGCCTTCCCCGTCTACTCCATTCCGAGGGCCACGAGACTTACGAAGACAGGGGCGTCTTCCGTTTCGCTGATGGCTGCTTTCATCATGGCCACCACGTGCTCGTTGGTGATGACCTCCTGCAGGGAAGAAATCAGAGTTTCTCACCTTGCTGAGTTCCAAGCCAGGAAAAGCCACCTGGGGCTTTGAGCGGCCCGTCACCCTGCCACACTCACGTGAAGGATGTTTCGCACGTTGACGGCTGTCAAATTGTGCTGCTTCGCCCCGTCTTCCAGCGTCCGGTCCAGGGTGTCGTCCAATTTGAGGTCACAAGCTAAAGTTCTTCCTCCTCCTCCTTCATCTTCCTCGGCAAACTTCCCTTCCCATTTCCTTTTAACTCCCTTCCGCCTGGTTTTTTTCCCTCCTTCTCGTTCATCTGCAAACAAGGAACGAACAGCGGCATTGTTTAAAAAAGGCAGGTGAGCAAACCCTGAGAGGGCTGGGTCCATTATAGACAGTCCTCAGGTTACGACCGCAATGGAGCCTGCCCATCGTGGTTTGTCATAGAACAGAACAGATCAACCCCGCTTACAAAAAATATTTGTGTATTTGGCCCGTTCCGGACTCACCCACTGAAATGAAAAGGGCCGTCTCGTCAGTTTCCGCCT